AGACAGGCCCCCCTCCTTGTCAAGTCTGGATGTCTCTATTTTCTGCAGCACATTTGCAGGAGAGAAGGTGGAAGGGGATGGAAGAGCTCTGAGCAGGGCCCCCATTTCCAGGTCACATAGTAGCTGTTCACTTCGATGTCTGAGGCTCGGCCACTAATGACTTGAGCTACATTATGATGAGGCAAAGTTAATGAATGTAAAAGCCTTCACCAATAAATATTTGGAGAATGCTAAGTTCTTTAGTCCCCCTCTTGAAGACTCACACTTCTTAGCATTGTAAAGGCTCTGAAAAGTCCTTCAGTAAAGAAACTTTTTCAACAACTTACTTAATCCACCTATTCCCACTTCTGTCACTGCCAAATATTTCTCAAGAACTCTCTCTGAAGTCCCACAAAGCTACCACATCCCAGTGCCCCCGCCTTGGGAAATGCTAAACAAGATGGTGGCTTTGGTCCTTTCCAACACCGATGCTCTCGAATCTTTGGAGCACTGTCACGTGTCTCTTCCAATGGCGTCCCGCAATGTCACTCAACTATAAGGACTTGCTCTTCTGTGGAGAATTCCCTCCTGGTTTTACTCAGAACTCCTTTGTTCTCACGTGATGGTAACTTTCCTCTAACCACCATGTAAATAAGAGGAATTTTTTGAGGGATAGGAATACCGGGTTGGGGTGGCCCAAAATTCAAGGTGAGCTAAAGAAAGCAGTACCTTGAGGATTGAATCTGCAACCCAGTTGTGTGAGGTGAACAGATGGAGCCAATTGGAGGGTCCTTCTGTTTTTTTTGTTTGTTTTTTTTTTAATATTTTATTTATTTCTAGGAGAGAGAGAGACAGCATGAGCAGGGGAGGGTCAGAGAGAGAGGGAGTCACAGACTGAAACAGGCTCCAGGCTCTGAGCTGGCAGTCAGCACAGAGCCCGACGCGGGACTCGAACCCACGAACCGCGAGATCATGACCCAAGCGAAAGTCGGACGCTTAACTGACTAAGCCACCCAGGCGCCCCTAGAGGATCCTTCTTGACTTTTGTTTGCTTTTCTCTATACCTTGCTCTTACTCCCCTCCATCCTACCTTCCCCATCCACTCAGCCAGCCAGCCCCCTGCCTCACATTCCCCTTTGCCTCTCTCCCTCACTCTCTCCTGCTGCAGATGGGCCTTCCCCACTGAGTGAGGTGGAGGACAGGGCGAGGGAGGCGGGTACATGGCTGCCGGAAGCCCCAGCTGAGCCAGTCCAACAGAAGGAGAGAGATTCTTCTTTCTATCATCTCTGTAGCAGCCTTGGGACAGGACCCTGGACACCCAGCTTGAGTCACGTGTCCACTCCAGGATTCATCACACGTGTCAGGTGGGTGCACTACTGCTACTGGCGGGTCACACACTTGCCCCCGCATCAGGAGGTCACACATGTGCCCCCCACCCCATGGCCGGGGCTGAGCAGGCACAAATGCACTGAGGCTCGAAACCCCACCTCAGCTGCACAGAGTGGAGAAAGGGCCTCCAAAGGAATAGAGACTATTACCCCAAAACAGGGAGAAGTTGCCAGACACGCATAACCAGGAACCTCCCCTCTCAAGCAGGAAACACCCAGCAATGAAGCCCTTGTGGTGACTTCCCACCTCCACGTGTCTCAGCACTTCTTCAAGCTAGACGGCAAGAGTCTTAAATGCGTACAAATGAAACTATGTAATGGACTCTGTCCTTAAAATGCTAGAGACATCTGTTGGTTTGCTTCCAGATATAGTACATTCCTGCATAAAAGGGAAAATGAGACTGTGGTGCTGATTAACTAGGACACCAGATCAGCAGCCGCCGGCCTAACCTAAAGGGTCCTTCTTTGGACACTTCCGTTGGTGAGTGTTTTTTTCTTGAAACGAGGATTTACGATCGAATTAGCCATTCAGTGACACAGCACGGTACCCTGGAAACCATCGGGGCTGTTTGTGTCAGTGCAGAAGATGGTTCAATACTCAATTATTGCTTTTCCTGGGGTTTTGTCCATACCATGCCAAAACAGCTAGTTTAAAAGTGAAAAATCAGGCTCATCGAGCAAAGGCACTGTCTCCTGAGCGCCAGTCTACTATGATCCAGGGTTTTCAACCAGAGCCAGGTCACTTCAGCCGGGTGCTATGCGGAGCTACTGAGCTTGTAAAGGAAAGATGAGATATTCAGGTGGAAAAATCTGGACCACCATTAATGTGGTGAATGAGGGGGAAAGAATCTACTTTTGCCTAATTTCTCATAATTCCTAAAAACAGCCTTGGTGTCACCCATATGACTGGTAGGTCATTTGCCTCCCACGGGGACTGGGAGGCAATCCACCTTGACACGAGTGGAGTTATGAACGGGGCCAGGTGTTGCTGGAGGGCAGGGGCGCATGTGGACCACACCCCTGTGCAGACAGGGTGTGTGTGCGGAGGGAAGGTGTGCTTTGTGGTTATGCGCTGGGACACAGATAGACAGGGAGAAGTGGCATTTGCACTGAGGCTTGAAGGATTCTGAGAATTAGCCAGGAGAAGGGGAGGGGGGCTGGGGTCAGAGGAGAGAGGAAGGGCAAGGGAGAGCCTGCAGGTACCTGACCATCAGTAAGGAGCTAGAACAATGGGAATCTAGACTGTTCCCTACGGGCAAGGGAGAGCCTGCAGGTACCTGACCATCAGTAAGGAGCTAGAACAATGGGAATCTAGACTGTTCCCTACACAGGGCCTGGGCCAGTGAGGGCTTGCCCCGGCCACTGCCCAGGGAATGGAAGGGCAGCTCCAGCGGCCACAGTGACACTCAGGTGAAGATGGAGGCACCTCCAGCTCGGAACTGACCCTCATCCCCAATCGCCAACGACCTGACCAGCTTCCCCAATTCTTTCTGCGCCACCTTGGAAGCAGGTCTGGCCTCTTCAGATTTTTGCCCAACTCAAGCGGGAAGAGACACTCCAGACTTGCAGTGAAATGTGGCCAGTCCACGTTCGTGCCCCTTTTATTCAAAAAAAATTAATGATCTGTACTCCAAGTTGGTGAGATAGGACACAGAAGTTACACTTCCATGTGCAGCAGCGCCTGTGTGGCTCATTAAGTGTCCGGCTTCAGCTCAGGTCATGATCTCACGGTTTGTGAGTTTGAGCCCCACGTCAGGCTCTCTGCTGTCGGCACAGAACCTGCTTCAGATCTTCTGCCCTCCTCTCTATCTCTCTCATTCTCAAAAGTAAATAAACACTAAAAAATGTTTAACTATGTGCATAACAAGACCTTCTTTACTTTTGATCAGGGTGGGATAATCCATCTGACTAGACTGAACTAATATATATTTCAGCCCCCAGCTTTTTTTGTAAGTAACAATTTCCATTTGTGCACGATCCCTTATCGCCGGGAAACATGGGCTGGCCACCAGGGATGGAGCAGAGACTACTGGAGATGTCTGGAACTGTCCCCATGCCCTCTTCCTCTCCCAGCTTGGTTCAGCCTCCCTGGTACTCTACATCTGAGAACTGCAGGCCAGGGGCCGCTGTCTGAGGCTTGGGTGCTGCTCCAGCCGGGAAGGGTGACCACGAATGCCCCGCACCCTCACTCACATGTAAAGCGCATTACTTGCCCCCTTGCCTGCTTCCCCGACCAACCAGGGAGCCCCTCGGGGACAGGAACTCTCATAGAGAACCTGGTATGCACTAGGCGCTCAAAAAAAAAACCTTTGTGAAAAGAATGAGCTGCTAAGGGCTCCCCAAAAGTGGAGGCCAAGCTGGGACAGTTGTTTGGGCCTCATTCCCTGCGTTCCCGATACACCCACACGGGCTTCACTGTGGCATAGGGCTGAACCCTTGTTGCCGGACGAAGGCTCTCAATGCCTGGCTTTCAAGTGAGACCCAGGCAGGGTGACTTTCTTTCTCCGCTTGCTAAAAAGATGCCCCATGACTCAGAGATGGTCTCTGGCTTTGCCACCTGGTGTCTGTGAGGTAATGGCTCCCCGTCACTGGGCAGCCAGTGGTAGTCAGTTAGAAATCACCACCAAGGTCAATGTTTGGTCCTGGGGAAAACCACCTTGTCCTTCCACCAAAATGGTGCCACTGCTCATGACAGTCACAGAGGGAATCTAATTTTAGAAAAGAGATCTTCTAAAGCCATTAATGAGAGCATCAGGCACTGTAATTACCCAGGTCAGGATTTTCACAACTCAGGCCTAACTAACTATATTATTAAATAATTAACATATGGTTGGGATGTTCTATTTTACATATTCAGAAGAGGTGTGTGTCAGGAACTCTAGAATGTTAGTTCCAAGTTCTACCACTTAGGCGGTGAAAGGGGCATGGCTATGTCACCAGCTGGCCCTTGCTTGTTTTCGGGTCTCCAGCCCAATTACCCTTTAATTGAAACCTTCCCTAAGAAATAGAGCTGGCGTGTCACTGGAGAGATTTCCAGAGACACCAAGGGGCATGACTGTGACCATGTAGAGACAGGGTTCAGAGAGGGGCTGGCTCCCTGTGTCCCCCAGCATAGGGCCTGTCCAGGCAGAACAGGCCTAAGAAGCTACAGATAACCAGCAGGTGTCAAGCACATTCTGGAAGGCACAAATGGCTCGTTTGGGAAGCTTTGGAAAAGGCAAGTTTATTCTGAAGCCTCGACCCAGAATGAAAGAAGCAGATGATTCCACAAGGATCCAGCAGAAGATGGGGGAGGGGGGGAGGCCGTCCTTTGCTTAATTCCTCAATTGTGCCATAGGCCTTCCTGTCGTGGGGCATCCCCACACATTCTGGTCCCTGTCCCTGGAAGGCTGTCCCCTGGTGGCTTCCTTCATCAGCTCACCTCTCACTGGCTGCTTCTCCATCAGATCCCATCTCAAATATCACCTCCTCAGGGAAGCCTGCCCAGATGCCTCCTCCATCCTGCCGAGTCAAGCTCCTGCCCCACTCTTGTGGCAGCTTTCCCCCTTGCCCTGATGATTAGGTGCAGAAATGTGTTGGGTTGCGTGACTTTTTAAAATCAGTGGCTGCCTCCCCTGTGGAATGCAAGCTCAACGTAGGGGTGAACCATCCCATCGCCCCTCCTCGCTGTGCCCCAGGGCCCAGCACATGTCACACACAGAAGGTACTCAATATTTGCTGAACAAATGCAATAGATAAATGGAGAGAGAGGCTCAGCCAGGCTAGGCTGGGTGGGCTGGTTTCATTCTGACCAATTATCTCTCCTGCCTTGCCATGCACTTTATGATTTTCCTGCCCTTTCGTTAAGTAGCCGCACACCCTAAGTGGCCGAGCATGTGACCAGTCAAGGACAATGTAGGGAGAGGCATGAGGGAAGGGAAGGGGGAAATGCCAGGCTCCGGTGCCCCATCCCCAGCAAGCACAGTGGGGATGACCGAAGGTGGGGCAGAGAATAGGCACTACCTGGGGCCTCTCACACCCATTCGTGAGTTCGGCAAACGGATCTTACTGAGCATGAACCACACGGCAGTCACTGCGGAGGAAGTGGAGCGGGAAGCTGGACAGAAAGCCCTGCCTTCCTGCAACCCGTATTCTGTGGGGAGAGACGGCCAAGGGCCAGGTAAGTAGGTAGAACGAACAGGATGCCAGATGGTGATCGCACCTTGGGGAGTAAAGAAAGATGGAGGGCAAGATGGAGGATGGAGGGCTGCCACTGTGGGCAGGTGACCAGAAAAGCCTCTCAGATAAACTGACAATCGATGAAGCATCTCAGCCATAGGCAGCAGAAGGCCCAAGAGTAGGGGCTTCTTCTTCACCCAATTTACCCAGTGGTATTTCAAGAACACAGAGTAGTGACCACGTGGTGCCCAAGATCCTTCTGGAATACTTGTGGCTTGTATTTACAGTGGGTTCGTTAGGGGGGGCCAAGGGGGTGGGACGTTGGGATGGGCCTAGGGTTCAGAGGACACGCATACCCAGAGCTGATGTGCTCTGGAAGCTTCAGGGCATTGCCAGCTGGATGCCCAATGGGGCCTTTAGCAGGTGAGTAGCGGAGGGGGTGGGCGGCACAGTGACCCAGCCTCTGCTTCCAGAGCTTTCCCCCAAATGCATCACTGAGGATCTCAGAGGATGCTTCCAGCCCCAACAAGAGCATTGCTAAAAGATCTCTTACGCAGAGGGGAAAGATGAACAGCAAATACTTTTTAAACATCCAGAACTACAAATGGATGACGGTCCCAACTAAGCCAGCTGTGGCCCGCACATACACCCAGGGAACTGCTGACTCACTCCCTAGGCCTCCTTCCCACCTCCGTCCATCAGCCTTCCGGCTGCCTGAGCTTCCAAAGTGGGAGCCAAGGAACGAGCCTGCTCTCAGATGGAATTGAACGAATTGAGCTGGTCCTGCTATAATGCATCACACCAGCAGGGCCGCCAATCAGAAATGGCCACTTCCGTTGTGTTTTTGAGATCTGTGAACATTAAATTCACCAAGTTCATGTTTGAAGATGGTTCCCCCCCACCAGTCCTGATTTTACCTTTATGATAAGCAGCCGGTGGCTCCAGCCTAGAGCCTGGGGTCTCCGCTGCCCTTCCCCTCCCAGGCTCTGAGACGAAAGGTCTGGTGACCTGCTTTCCAGCCAGGAAGCAGAAGCAGACATTATAATGCAGCATGTTCTCCTGTTTCTCAGCATCAGGGCCTCCCATGGCCCCTGGGCTCCCCTTTCTGGCACCAGGGCCCCATCAGACACCTGCAAGCGGAGGGTCACAGGCATACGGCAAGAAGGAGGCCAGGCATCCCACTCACTAGTGCTCTGGTCTGTGCACTTGGGAACTCACCAACCCGTCAGCCGTGCCCTTGCCTGGCTCTCTGCCCCACTGTGATAGACTTGCTAGGCCGTGTGCCTGGCCTGAGTGCCCAAGCTTTTCCCAGAACTTGGAAAGCCCTGCCTCGCTGTCACCAAGACCCACCCAAAGCTGTATGTGCAAAAGCGTACGCCACTTGTGTTCTCATCCACATCATCTCCCAACACACTCAAACCTTCCCTGGCAGCCCTCTCTGTCTTCCCACTTTCTTGATGCTCTTCCATCCTCCACACTAAACACAGTTGTTACCGAGGAGTAGGACAAACAAATGAACAAAAACCAAACAGTAAAAACAACCAGAGCAAAACCCCAAACTCCAAAGCAACATACTATCCATGCTTCTTTTTTCTAAATGCTTATTTAGGGGCGCCTGGGTGGCTTAGTCGGTTAAAGCATCCGACTTTCGCTTAGGTCATGATCTCACGGTTCATGGGTTCGGCCCCGCGTCGGGCTCTGTGCTGACTGCCAGCTCAGAGCCTGGAGCCTGTTTCGGTCTGTGACTCCCTCTCCCTCTGACTCTCCCCTGCTCACGCTGTCTCTCTCTCTCCTAGAAATAAATAAAAAAACATTTAAAAAAAATAAATGCTTATTTAAAGAGAGAGAGCATGTGGGGAGGAGGCAGAGAGAAAGGGAGAGAATCCCAAGTAGGCTCCACGCTGTCAGTGCAGAGCCCAACGCAGGGATCCAGCCCATGAACTGTGAGATCATGACCTGGGATGAGATCAAGAGTCGGTTGCTTAACTGACGGAGCCACCCAGATGCCCCTCTGCGCTTCTTTTTAATATATTCGCTTCTTAAAAATTTTAAGGTTCATTTTCCATTGACTTTCTGGGACATTATAACATGCAGGCTTCCACCCTAGAAATCACATGTTTATCTTAAATTGTATTGAAGACCAGTTACAAGAGGTCCTAAGGCTATTCTCATTGCTAATCGGTTTTACATAATTTTGCAAAATTATAATCTTTTAGAATAAAGATATTTGATGCCCACAGAAGCCAGATTGCCACAGTTATTAGCCACGTACAGAATTCTCCAGAGACTCACAGCCTCGACTGTGTTACCAAACCATGGCTCTAGGTTACCATCCTTGCCTGGCAATGCCTGGAGCATGGCTTGTGAGCATGAGCGATGGCAGTGGAAAGCGTGGGTAAACCTCAGATCATCTACAGGTGTCTCTGACACACTCTGCCCACCATTAAGATGCCTCTTTTCTTTTGTACCTTAGAGACAGATAGAAACAAATCTTTCCAAACCTGAAGCTAGCTGATAAAGGAACGCCCAGATTTTCATCACCTGTCGTTGATGCCTAGCGAGGGTCAGGTGTGGAAGTCTTCACATATAGTAAGTGCTCAATCAGTTGCAGCTGAAATGATTATGACTGCGATAAGGACAATTGGTAACGCCGACAGAAGTAATACAGGCACTAATCCTCAGGACGGGGAGGGGGCTATGACACATCCACGTGCGTGACGGGGAGAAGGTGAAGCTGGGTTCCCTTGGCATGCTCCTCTGCCCAGGCAACAGGCTGGCTGTGCTGGGCACAGGAAGCACCAGAGTGACCACGCTGAAGGACAGCTCGCAGTCATCCTACTGGCCCAGTTCCCGGCCCAACTCCTAGGAAGCAGAACTGGATGGACTTCAGAGATGCTCCATTTCCCACCACTTCAGAGAATGGAAAAGGAGACTCACGTGCGCACATGGGCATATGACCTAACACTATGTCCTTTCCAACAAGGCACTCACTTGAAACATCCTCTCCCCCTCGCGCCCCCCCCATCAGCAAGGCACATTATTGTCACCAATCCCCAAGAAGTGAAGGGACTTGCCTGAAGTTGCAGGGCTCATAGGAGGGCTGGGATTCAAACTCAAAATCCCAGGTTCCTTTTGCCATGCAGCCTAGAAGTAGGTAGCCTTCAAAATTGGGTTACTCTTGCTCTATGATGAATGTTGTTTTACAAAATGAGGATCGGATTGACTCTGTTCAAGCGGTGGGAATAATGACAGAGTCATCTTCTGGCCATTCGCAAAGCAGCTGGATACCCGCCTGCCTCTGGCAGCCAGTTAGGGGCGAGTGCCCCCGGAAAACCGGAGAGCGGGAGCCAGAATTCCAAGCAGCAAAGTAGAGACAGTGAAGTCTGGTGAGAGGAGAGGCCTGCTGTAGTCGATCGCTTCAGCAATGACCCAAGTACTTGATTGCTCAGGGAGAGGGAATGGAAACATCTGGGAATCCTTTCACATAAGCAGTATTCACCAAAGGCCTCCCTGGACTCAGAAGTGCAGTGGGCACGGGGGTTACCAGAGGCCCCTCACCCAAAGCACCAGCAGTGGATGTGACCAGAGCAAAGGTGTGGCACAGAAGAGACCCAAAGGAGGGGTGTGGGAGAGATGATAGTCATCGGACCACAACTACTACTAACAATACTTAAAAAAAAAAAAAAAAGACGAATACTTAAATCTACAAGGTGTGTGCTATGACTGGGCCTATTCTACAGATGAGGAAAAGTCTGCCTGAGGCCCCAAAGCTGACACCTGGAGGAGACAGGATTGACATCCGTACAGTTTGGCTCAGGGATCCAGCCTTCACTCTACTGTGAGCCCAATCCCAAACATGGCCTAGAAAATGGCTGAGAACGTAGAGAACACGGAGCCTCCCCCAGTGTCTCTGTCCCTGATGACCCCATATCCCCAACCTGGAGGTTACTTGAAGCTCCGGAGCCTTAAAGAGCCCCGAGTCTTGGGCCTAACCCTGCCTGGGATGACCTGGCACCATTTCCACCATTTCCGACAGCAGCACAGGGCTTCCACTAGACTCTCCATTAGCCTTTCCCTCCCAGAAAGGGAGAGAAGGGCCCCCCGGAGCATTGTTAGCCCCGACTTAGCCTCCTCCGATCTCCGAGAGGCAGGCACAGCACCCCTTGTTCTGGTTTCTCCCTTTCGCCCCCCACCTCGCCAGCTCCCCCAAGTCATGCCATCCATCTCAAGGCCCAGACTCCTCAGCTGTGTGTCTGATGGAGCAGAGCACAGCTCGCCTAAAGCCGCCGATCCCCACATGTTATTCTTTGCCTTTATCTTGTTAGCATAATATGCAGCTTCATTAACCAGCCAGATGAATCATTTAGTAATTGGAGCTAATGAATTTAATTTTCCCCTTTCTATTTTTTATAATAAAACAAAGTCATAATTTGCCAATAGGTCAAGGAAGGCTCTGAGTTGCTGTTTTGAGTCAGTGTTAGGCCCAGAGTACAAAATGGCAGACAGCAACAGAGCAACCCCGCCCACGGATCCCGCCGCTGTTTGTGGAGTTTCTCAGGCACTGGACCCGACTGGGTCAGCTTCCCAGTTCTGCACAGAATGAAACGAAAGGCCCGAACGAGAACTTGTGTTGCTTTTTACTATGAGATATCACCATGTTGGTGGCATAGGTGAGTATGAAGAAGAAGAATAGCTCACAGTGTGTAACGTCACCAAGGGAACTTCCCGGGGTCCTATATGAAGGACTATAAGAGAATCAATCTGTCTTAGATTTTTCTCCCAAGAACTCGTCCCGCCTCCCCACAGTCCAGGGACCTGGGTTGGTAACGGAGACCTCCCTTCTCACTATCCTGTTACTAAAAAACCCGGTGTCCGGTGATGACCCAGGACTTGAAACATCAACACCGGAAGGAAGGCTAATTAGAGGAGCCCCCACCCCCCTCACGGCATAGCTGAAATGCACCAGTTGAAGAGCGTTCCTTGTGACTGGACTACCTGGTGCCTCATCCCTGATTAACAGAGCCTGGCTGCAAACTAAAATGCAGTTAATTTATTGTAAGTTTTATTAGGCATATAAAAGGGAAGCAGGAATGAGTAGCCTTTCGTTGCTGGAGATACATTTCATCCCTGACTCAGAGCAGATTCCTTGTAGATTAAGCTTGTTAATTTCCCTGCCGCCAACATTCTTCTCTGCATTGCTGAAGCAAAAGCCACAGGTTCTTGTCTGAAATGGAAGGGATGAAAAGGGCTGGGCCCCCTCCCGGACAACAGTTACATTAACCACTTTGTCCTTTTAATTCATCTAATTACATGCGAGGAGAAAGCTGCTGCCTTAGAGGCTCCGCTCCTCCCAGAGCGCAATGCTGCTGTGCCATTGCTTCGGGTTTTTTTGTTGTCTTATTAGGGGTGCTTTTGTTCAGAGGGATGGTTAAAGCCATTTTCAGCAGCCAGCGAGATGAAGCAGTTTCAATAAGGATACAATGTACTTGTTTAAATTACCTTTCAAAATGCCCAAAACCATTAAGGGGGAGGCGCTGCAAATAAAGTTGGATTTTTGTTATAATGTTTTACCCTAATAACAGCTTTTATTTTATTATAATCCATTAGTTGACAATATTATTCTATAGATTATTAGGCAGCAATTTTGTTATTTTATCACACTTTCGGCGCTCACTCACCGGGCCAGGATCCACAAATCTCAGTATAATGTGCTTTCAATTTTGTTAAAATCTCTATTTAACTGGTTTGGCTGCGGAACATCTTGGCAAATGTGTTTTTAATTTCGTTCTAATTAACTTGACAGTTGACAGAACTCGGCGGTGGCGTGATAGTGTCCTCTTTTTTTCCAGGGTCCCTGCAGCTCCATTCCTGGGGTCCGTTGTTTCTCTCTCTGGTCCTAACAAGCAAGATGTCAGAGGTAACGCCACGGAAAGGGTCTTTCATCTCTGTCAAAAGTACATGTAATTTTTAAGAAACCAATTAAAAAAAAATCTGCCTTTCCTCTTTATCTGTAAAAAGAAGGTCATTGGTTCTGTGGGGTTTCAAACGCGGCTTGTTCCTATAGATGTATGTCCTGAAAGATGAAGGCGAAGCAAGTGGGAGGGAGATTTTTGTTGCCCATACGGGAAGCCAGCTCTTTCCCAAATAGATGCTATTCCCTTGCACTGGCACATAGTGGAGAAGAGCCTTAAATGCTCTGCTTTGGGGGATCTGCCGTGGGAAGAGCAGCATTAAGAGAACTTACTCTTGCTCTTTAAACAATTCTAAATTCTCTCTCTTACCTGGGGAAGTTGGATCTGGCAACCCTCCTTGAGGTCTCATCCTTGCTTCTAGAATCCTGCAACATCTGGGAACAGGCTTTTCCCCAACCCCAAGGGTGTCAACAGGGAAGCAAGCAGCCCCAGATCACAAGGCAACTTACTTTTTTTTTTTTTTTTTTACTGTCCTGACATGAAGGTAAAGCAAATCTCTACAAAAGGAATCCAATCTTGCCTACGACTTTCCTTAGACAAAGACATGGGCATCCAGGAGTCTACAGGGAAATCTTTCGATGACTTGATGCCAGGCTATTGAGTGAATTTGGGCACCAACATCTCCTATCAGTTATCTTTCTTATCCTCGCTCTCTCTCCTTACCTTGCTCAGACGACACAAATTTTGCCCATAACTGGAAATTCCCTGCTTCCACATTTGTACTATTCGTTATGCTTCTGTTCAATTATTAAGAACGTCAGTCCTACCAGGACCCTCGGAGATGAATCACTACAACATCCTCCTCACATTAATGACGAAAACTCGTGGCTCGGGGGACTCGGGACTTGCCAGGATACCAGCCAGCAAAGAGCAGACCGAGACCACACGGAGGTCTTCTGACTCCCAGCCATGCCCTTTCCTGAAAGTGTCCTTAGAGAAGGTTCTAAGGTCTCCAAAACAAAACAAAAACAAAATCTATATAGTCATCTTTTTCTCGAGTTTCAAGACAAGAATGTTGTTACACAATTGTAAACAATGGCATAAGCCAGTAGACTAACACAAAGCATTTGGTGTGCACACTTTAAAATGATACTATGCTGGGGTACCTGGGTGGCTCAGTAGGTTAAGCGTCTGACTTTGGCTCAAGTCATGATCTCACGGTTTTGAGTTCAAGCCCCGTGTCAGGCTCTGTGCTGACAGCTCGGAGCCAGGAGTCTGCTTTGGATTCTGTGTCTCCCTCTCTTCCTGCCCCTCCCCCACTCGTGCTCCATCTCTCTCTCTCTCTCCTCTCTCTCTCCCCCCAAAATAAATAAACATTAAAAAAAATTTAAATGGCACTATGCTTAAAGCAAACAACATAAATCCCCAGACCAGTGACTTTAAAGGAAGAGCAATTTTCTCCCCCAGAGGACATTTGCAGCGTTGGGGGACACTTTAGGTTGTCACAAGAGGGGATGTCCTGCTGGCATCCAGGGGGTTGAGGCCAGGGGTGCTGCTAAACACTCTTCAGCGCACAGCACAGCACCTGTCTCCCACCACCCACCATCACCACACCACCACAAAGAACGATCCAGGCCAAAGTGTCAACTGTGCTGAAGGAGACAAGTCCCGCCCTCCACCTTGCCCTCAGGGAGTTTACACTTTACTCAGGGAAAAGGGAGACTGGCTACCTTGCAAGGGACAGTGGGCTGGGCCAAGTCACCACTGCCCCAGGGTTCATGATGAAGGCAAGACTTGAACCAACATTACACTGACATCCTTCATTCTTGTTCATTCTCCCTGGAAAGCAATCTACTTTTTACCCACATTCCCTGCCTCAGCCACATAACTTTAGTAATTGCCCTGATTCCTTCTGGCCTGTTTCCTCTTCTATTCAATGGAGTCCAATAGGGCCGTAGTGACATAAGCCATGTGGAACACCTACCACACGGTAGGCAGCGGGTGAGTCCAAGCGTCGTGGCCCTGACCATGAGGATGCCCCCCATGCTCTGACTGGGGTGGAGAGGGTGTAAGTCTCGCTCTGGCAGGTTTCTATCACAACTGCAAGAATGTGTCCATGCAGACTCTGGGAATGTCATCCAACTGCCCCGGTATGGAAAGAAGTTCACAGACCCAGGAGAATTTGGTGGGGAGAGGCGGAGAGGGCGCAGAAGAGAAGACTGAGGAAACGAAGATGCGCTTTGTCAGCATGGGTGTCCCACCTTTCTGTTCCTCCTACTCCCCAACCGGAAATGGCATCAATGGGGGGCTCAGGTAAGAACCAGCTGAGTCGAGGCAGGGAGCCTGAGCATCGACTCTGTGCAAATAAGTTAGGAGTTCATGCTTCTTTCCAAGTCCCGCACAGGGAACCCTGTCCTTAGATACAGAAAACCATGGACAATACCTGAAATTCATATTCAGCTCAGAATATGAATTTGCACCATTAAATATCTGTTGAGCTATTGAGGTGCTCAACAATACTCCAACCCTCTTCCCTTTCATTTTATTTGCAAGACTTCTATGTATTCACGGCAGGGTAGGGGTGTATGAGCAAGAATAATTTCAGAGAGACGCTTCATTTAAAAAAAAAACAAAAAAACAAAAAGACCTCATCCTCAAATCAATGCCGAAGAGAAGTAAGATGATCTCCCGCTACTTCATCTCCAAAACTGTTCTCTGGTTTGTGAACATCTGTCAAGAACATATATTTCCAGGGCTCCAAATTGCCCAGATTTAATATCCAGCTTAGTTAAGCCACTAGAGTTTAACTACCATGCTGCATCTTACAGAAACAGCTCGAGAACAAAAGGGCATTTGAATTCTTCGCCCAAGGCCATGTGTTTCTTCTGGACAGTCATATAGTTGTGGGCGGTTTTCGTCACAGCGCGGCCTCACAAGATACAGCCTTTCACACCACTGACGTCATTTTTGATAGCTTCTCCACCGGGCCTCCATTTTCCCAGGCCAAAATTACGTTTTGCCGGGGACATTGTAGCAGGGCCCGTGTTTGACCATTGAGCCCCATGTGTGGCCATTAGGAAGAAAAGAAAAATCAATAGGGTTTCATTAAAACAGCAGGCAATCAGGGCCCAGCCCTGGCTTAATTACAGTTTCAGTAGCATTTGCTTTAATTGGAAAGAATAAAAGAAGTGAAGTGGAGTGAATGAAGAAATTAGCATATCTATCACCGTTGTCACATTGTACAGTGGCCTTAAAACACCGCTCGCTCTTTCCTATCTCTGAAGCTGCACTGAACCCTGAAAAAAAAATCAGGAATGGCAATTAGCAAATCCTCAGACTCTACCTTTGTGAAATTCTAATTAAAGTCTTTTATAATCTTGGGAAGGCATTTCTTAAAACCTACTAGATATGCTAGATACACTTGGCGACATGTCTGTTAATTACGCCGCATGGTGATGCGGCCAGAGAATTGGCAATCCTCTCCAGCTGTGTATATACAGCGGTTCTGAGCCGGCTTCTGCAGCCTGGAAAAGTTGCAGACAGCCTGGTTCTTGCTTCAGTGGTGGGTCCCAAAGGCAGCTTCTGGAATTCTATCTGCTTATTGGACTTCCCAACATTTGTAGACATAGGAAATGTCAGAGCGGTGAGATCCTTAGGCACCAAAGGTTTCAAACCTACCCTTGCCCCCATTTTACAGATGGAGAAAACTGAGGCCCAAGATCCCCAGGCTACGATAGGGTAGAGTGAGGACTTTTTATCAGGCCTGTTTTTGTTCTTGTTTTGCAAATTCCGGTCTTCTATCTATTCTCATAATATGTCACCGGATGAAATTTCCCATTGAAAGAAAACATTGTCATAAAAGATGAAATTTTATTTAATACAAAGAGGCTCCTCCTTTGGAATGGTTAACGGGTTAAAATCAGTCTGTGACTATGAGTTTGGTTAGAATGTGTCCAAGGAAAGGCTTCCAAGGTCACAGCCACTGGAGAAGGCACAGTGATTCTCGAAGTGGAGCTGGCCTTCCCACTGGCTTGGATTCTGGAAAGAAATGTCAAATGCCTAGTAATTCCACAAATCTCGTAGAGGTCACGGAGGTGGCTAATAAGAGCTTCCTTTTTGTGACAGCCCATTTCGTGCTGAGTGGTCCCACGGAGGTCCTATTATCCCCACTTTAAAGATAAGACTGAGGCACAAAGAGGTAAAGTTTATTTGTTATTGGCCAAATAAGCCACAAGCCGGGCTTTAAACTCAAATTCGTTTCCAAAGGGCTTCTTCCACCAGCCACACGGCCCTCCCAAGGCAAGGGACCAATTTTAGGGTAGAAGTGAGGCCTGTGTGTCTGTGAGCTCAATGCTTGTGGCTCCTGGCTGGGCAGAGGCCGCGCAGCCTTGCCGAGGAGGCCCCAGGCCCGGGCGGGGTCCTAACAGAAATTTATCCAGACCAAGTGCTTCTTTCCAGACCACTAAGGGTGGGCACTGCTCTTTGGTAACAAGCCCAGAACAGCAGCTCATTGTGCTGGTGAAGTGATGGTGCCATGTGGCCAGGGTGCGGGGCCGCCTCCGGGGTCAGAGGGACGTGGCTGGGGGACAGTAGAGAGACCTCCATGCAGAAAATTACAGGGAGGAAACGATTCTTTGTCCCTTCACAAAGTGGCCATTGGGAAGCGCGTGACTGGCTTCTCAGCAGAGCGTGGCAGGGGCCCGTCCGGGGTCAGTCCTCAGAGCCGACTCCAGAGTGCTGGGCGTGAGCTGAGCCAGAAAGCACTTAAACTCCAGCTGGGGCGAGCCACCTCTGCTTCGGCCTCCATTTCCTCAGCTGTGTGATACACCTGTCCCCCTCCGTGAGCTCTGTGATCTGAGCCACATGGTGGCCCCATCCCCTCAGTGACCAGGGCTCAGACCAAGGGAGCCTCCAAAGAGGACAGAAGAAAAGCCACCGCAGGGCACGGCAGGCCAGTAGAGTGCCAGTGAGCAGGGGTGGGGGCCAGGCTGCCAGAGGCAAGCGTCCCCACTCCACGAGGGGCCATCCAGAGCCAAGAGTGGGCACGCGGACGGTCATCTCAGCCAAAACGGTGGCTGCAGTGAATGGAGCCGAT